AAAAATATTAATAAGATTAATTAATAATTTTACACTAAGTCCCTTTTAATCCTTAAACGAGAGTTAAAATCGTATTAGACATTCTCAAATGGAATCTAACCTACCCCTCGTCTGCTTTGGACATATAAACAAACTGTGTCCTCTTCGTCCGAAAGCTCAAATCATACCCATAAAAAACAAAAGAAAAAGAAACAATACTTGCTGATAATTACGTTGATTCCATCTTGTTTTTCCTCAAGCCCTCTAAAAGGGCAAGATTCAACAACACCTGCAGCTCAGATTGAGTTGTAATACTACATATTCCAGTAAGTATACACACACACACTACAATTCCTTCTTCATTATTATATGTTTTCTCGAGAAAATAGAATACTGTGGCTTTAATGAAACTTTCCCAGTTTTGGGAACTTGGTTTTGTCGTCAAAGTTTTTTCTATTTCTCGTTAAAATAACTTAAAGATTTATTTATCTTCTTGTCTGGGTTATTTATCTTCTTGTTGTTGGGGTTGTTGTTTTCGTTTGTCTTACAGATGCCGGAGAAAGTGGCGGTATCACCAAAACAGTGGCTTGTTGCAGGGCCAATGCATCAATGGAGATTTGGTGTGCTAACAGCTCTTGTATTTGTTGGGATGGTGGTGGTGTGGAGCGTCGATGGTTGTACTATAAAGAACTTCATTCAAGCTTGGAGGCTTAGGGAAGATTATATTTCCTTCAAACTCAATGCCACTGTCGATCTAATGCAAATAAATCAAAATCTCTCTCTAAACACCCCCAATGTTCATGTTTCCGCCACCCAAAAACTAAACCAAAACGACACCAACAGTTTTAGTCCTTTACCCAGTTTGTCTCAGACCCAAAACTACCAAACCGGTACGACTAATTTTTCTTCCAACAGTTCTGCCAATTTGTCTCAACTCCAGAAGCGACAAAGTGGGAATCAAATTTCGGAAAATTTGAGGTGGGTTTCAGTTGAACTGGAGCCCAACTTGACTAGTAATCTTCTGGCTCGTTGGTTGACTCCAGGAGGAGAGCCGTGTAAAGATTCCCGTACTGTGGAGATTGCAATTCGTGACCTAGATGGAGGGAAGATGGTGGAGTTATCAGCTGGTGAAATCCATGAATTTTACTTCCAAGCATTGGATGAGTCCGGGAAGCCTCGTTGTCTTGGTGGGGATTACTTCGAGACTGATCTTTCAGGAGGGTCATGGAAATCTAGGCCTGTGGTCAAAGATTTTGGTAATGGTACTTACTTGCTTTCGCTTCAGGTTCATCCTGATTTTTCCGGTGATTATAATTTGACCGTCATTTTGCTCTTTAGACATTTTGAGGGTCTTAAGTTTTCTCCTCCAAGGTTTGTTTATGATAGAGAGTTGCGTCATATTCCCATTAGGTTCTTTAGAAGTAAAGCTAAACTGCCAGGGTTACAAATTTGTCGAAAATCTGATTTTACGAGAGATATTTGGTCTGGGAGGTGGACAAGACATGGAAAGAACGATGATTGTCGAATTAGCCAGGATGGTAGGTATAGGTGTCTAGCACCAGATTTTCCCTGTCAAAAGCCATGGTGTAGTGGTTCATTGGGATCGATTGAAAGTAATGGTTGGGTATACTCAAGTCATTGTTCTTTTAGGATGTTTTCAGCTAATTCTGCTTGGAAATGTTTGAAAAATAGGTGGATTTTCTTCTGGGGCGATTCCAATCATGTTGATACAATAAGAAACATGCTGAATTTTGTCTTAAATTTGCCTGATATACATTCAGTTCCTAGGAGATTTGATATGAATTTTTCAAACCCCAAGGACCCTTCTCAGTCGGTACGAATTACAAGCATTTTCAATGGTCACTGGAATAAGACACAAAATTACCAAGGGTTGGATTCTTTGACAGATGAAGGATTTAGGAATTTGCTGAAAAATTACTTCTCTGAGGACACCGTTCCGGACTCGATAATTGTGAACTCAGGCTTGCACGATGGTGTTCACTTTCATAGCATAAGAGCATTCTCTAGGGCAGCAGAGTATGCTGCTTCATTTTGGGAAGAAGTTATGGAGTCCATAAAACACAGGGGATTGAGGGTGCCACAAATTTTCTATCGTAGCACAGTGGCGACTGGTGGATATGCACGGTCGCTGGCATTTAATCCTAATAAAATGGAGGCATTTAATGGGGTATTCTTAGACAAGTTGAAGCAAGCTGGGCTGGTTTCTGGTGTGATCGATAACTTCGATATGACTTTTCCATGGCATTTTGATAACCGTTGTAACGATGGTGTACATTATGGAAGAGCTCCATTGAAGATGAAGTGGAGGGATGGTGAAATTGGACACCAATATTTTGTCGACCTCATGTTAGCCCATGTGCTACTTAATGCTCTATGTGCGCAATAGTTGAAGTAAATTGTAGGTAATTGGCAATTTTTGGAAGGTTTCTGTTTAGTAGCTCTGGAAAGTAGCATTTGTGAAGCTATTGAGTTGCTGGATATTGCTACTGCCATTGCAGGCTTTGTTGGAACACATGGAGAGACAGCTTAGATGGTGCATGGAATCAAATTTTCAAGACTTTTACGTAATGGATGATATTCATTAATAGGTTAGGATTGGCATTCTTTATTTGTTTATAAATTTATTACCACTTACAGTCTTAGATAGATCCAGCTCTCAGGCATGTAGATTATGAGAGTTCCACGGAATGTATTAGTGAATATGGTCATATATAATAATGTAACCAGTGCATATATTTGATGTTTTGTCAATATAATTGTTTGTTACATAAATTTTTAGTTGATCTATTGCATACTTCAACTTGGTTGTTTGTTCTCACGAATCTTCAAATATTTCATGTACAATGTGATTCCATTGGAGCATAATTTGGCATTTGATGCAGGAGTCACTTTATGGCAATTGATTTATGGCTTCTAAAACTTTTGGGTACTTGGAAAAAAATCATTACACTTCTTGATGAAATACTAGTTGTTCTATTACAAATCCTTCTTAACTGAGGGCTCCCTTTTGGTTTCAGATTATAAAACTGTTGAACTTTGGTCTATCCACTTAACTAGATGGTGTATTGATTACATTTATCTTTTCACATTTATTTTATTTTTGGTTGAAAAAAGGTAAGGAGGGTAAGCAACAGATTGTCAAAAAGATGCAAAAAAATTTATGTGGAGTTGAGCTTTTGATGCATCTTTTAAAAAAGTTATTTATGTCATTATCTTTCCTTTTTTCCGTAGAAACGAAAGCATACTTTGGAACAAGCCTATAATGACGGGAGGGATTAGTAGTAATTGGCCAAATATTGATGTCAATGATGTTTGACAGATCTGCTATAGCTGTAAATCATCATAAAATCTCCGCAAAAGCAGCATCTGCATGTCTCCCAGCTCTCAATCCCAACTACAGTTCCCTTAACCAAAACACGTTGGATCTAATAGAACTCAACTTCAATACATACAATAGGATTTCTGGACTTCAGAAGAGCCTTCAAGTCTATGCATTTGTTCTTGCCCTGCTCTGTTTCTAGGCCCAAAAAGCCAACTCAGTATGGTTGTAAAATGGGTATATGTTACATAGACCATTGTTTATGCAGATTCAGCTGCTGGGAAATGGGAATTGGGATCAAATATTGAAATGGATAGATGGATAAGGGCATGTTATCTATGGACAGCAATCCTTACCTGCTTGTATTGGTAATTTGGTATTCTCTGTAATTATGAAAACTCACAAGGCCGGATTAAATGGTGTACCTATGGTCCAGTGGCTAAACAAACATCATACTAAATGAGTACAGAAAAGACGGCTGCCAATAAGAGTTGTAAGATTAATTAATAATTTTACACTAAGTCCCTTTTAATCCTTAAACGAGAGTTAAAATCGTATTAGACATTCTCAAATGGAATCTAACCTACCCCTCGTCTGCTTTGGACATATAAACAAACTGTGTCCTCTTCGTCCGAAAGCTCAAATCATACCCATAAAAAACAAAAGAAAAAGAAACAATACTTGCTGATAATTACGTTGATTCCATCTTGTTTTTCCTCAAGCCCTCTAAAAGGGCAAGATTCAACAACACCTGCAGCTCAGATTGAGTTGTAATACTACATATTCCAGTAAGTATACACACACACACTACAATTCCTTCTTCATTATTATATGTTTTCTCGAGAAAATAGAATACTGTGGCTTTAATGAAACTTTCCCAGTTTTGGGAACTTGGTTTTGTCGTCAAAGTTTTTTCTATTTCTCGTTAAAATAACTTAAAGATTTATTTATCTTCTTGTCTGGGTTATTTATCTTCTTGTTGTTGGGGTTGTTGTTTTCGTTTGTCTTACAGATGCCGGAGAAAGTGGCGGTATCACCAAAACAGTGGCTTGTTGCAGGGCCAATGCATCAATGGAGATTTGGTGTGCTAACAGCTCTTGTATTTGTTGGGATGGTGGTGGTGTGGAGCGTCGATGGTTGTACTATAAAGAACTTCATTCAAGCTTGGAGGCTTAGGGAAGATTATATTTCCTTCAAACTCAATGCCACTGTCGATCTAATGCAAATAAATCAAAATCTCTCTCTAAACACCCCCAATGTTCATGTTTCCGCCACCCAAAAACTAAACCAAAACGACACCAACAGTTTTAGTCCTTTACCCAGTTTGTCTCAGACCCAAAACTACCAAACCGGTACGACTAATTTTTCTTCCAACAGTTCTGCCAATTTGTCTCAACTCCAGAAGCGACAAAGTGGGAATCAAATTTCGGAAAATTTGAGGTGGGTTTCAGTTGAACTGGAGCCCAACTTGACTAGTAATCTTCTGGCTCGTTGGTTGACTCCAGGAGGAGAGCCGTGTAAAGATTCCCGTACTGTGGAGATTGCAATTCGTGACCTAGATGGAGGGAAGATGGTGGAGTTATCAGCTGGTGAAATCCATGAATTTTACTTCCAAGCATTGGATGAGTCCGGGAAGCCTCGTTGTCTTGGTGGGGATTACTTCGAGACTGATCTTTCAGGAGGGTCATGGAAATCTAGGCCTGTGGTCAAAGATTTTGGTAATGGTACTTACTTGCTTTCGCTTCAGGTTCATCCTGATTTTTCCGGTGATTATAATTTGACCGTCATTTTGCTCTTTAGACATTTTGAGGGTCTTAAGTTTTCTCCTCCAAGGTTTGTTTATGATAGAGAGTTGCGTCATATTCCCATTAGGTTCTTTAGAAGTAAAGCTAAACTGCCAGGGTTACAAATTTGTCGAAAATCTGATTTTACGAGAGATATTTGGTCTGGGAGGTGGACAAGACATGGAAAGAACGATGATTGTCGAATTAGCCAGGATGGTAGGTATAGGTGTCTAGCACCAGATTTTCCCTGTCAAAAGCCATGGTGTAGTGGTTCATTGGGATCGATTGAAAGTAATGGTTGGGTATACTCAAGTCATTGTTCTTTTAGGATGTTTTCAGCTAATTCTGCTTGGAAATGTTTGAAAAATAGGTGGATTTTCTTCTGGGGCGATTCCAATCATGTTGATACAATAAGAAACATGCTGAATTTTGTCTTAAATTTGCCTGATATACATTCAGTTCCTAGGAGATTTGATATGAATTTTTCAAACCCCAAGGACCCTTCTCAGTCGGTACGAATTACAAGCATTTTCAATGGTCACTGGAATAAGACACAAAATTACCAAGGGTTGGATTCTTTGACAGATGAAGGATTTAGGAATTTGCTGAAAAATTACTTCTCTGAGGACACCGTTCCGGACTCGATAATTGTGAACTCAGGCTTGCACGATGGTGTTCACTTTCATAGCATAAGAGCATTCTCTAGGGCAGCAGAGTATGCTGCTTCATTTTGGGAAGAAGTTATGGAGTCCATAAAACACAGGGGATTGAGGGTGCCACAAATTTTCTATCGTAGCACAGTGGCGACTGGTGGATATGCACGGTCGCTGGCATTTAATCCTAATAAAATGGAGGCATTTAATGGGGTATTCTTAGACAAGTTGAAGCAAGCTGGGCTGGTTTCTGGTGTGATCGATAACTTCGATATGACTTTTCCATGGCATTTTGATAACCGTTGTAACGATGGTGTACATTATGGAAGAGCTCCATTGAAGATGAAGTGGAGGGATGGTGAAATTGGACACCAATATTTTGTCGACCTCATGTTAGCCCATGTGCTACTTAATGCTCTATGTGCGCAATAGTTGAAGTAAATTGTAGGTAATTGGCAATTTTTGGAAGGTTTCTGTTTAGTAGCTCTGGAAAGTAGCATTTGTGAAGCTATTGAGTTGCTGGATATTGCTACTGCCATTGCAGGCTTTGTTGGAACACATGGAGAGACAGCTTAGATGGTGCATGGAATCAAATTTTCAAGACTTTTACGTAATGGATGATATTCATTAATAGGTTAGGATTGGCATTCTTTATTTGTTTATAAATTTATTACCACTTACAGTCTTAGATAGATCCAGCTCTCAGGCATGTAGATTATGAGAGTTCCACGGAATGTATTAGTGAATATGGTCATATATAATAATGTAACCAGTGCATATATTTGATGTTTTGTCAATATAATTGTTTGTTACATAAATTTTTAGTTGATCTATTGCATACTTCAACTTGGTTGTTTGTTCTCACGAATCTTCAAATATTTCATGTACAATGTGATTCCATTGGAGCATAATTTGGCATTTGATGCAGGAGTCACTTTATGGCAATTGATTTATGGCTTCTAAAACTTTTGGGTACTTGGAAAAAAATCATTACACTTCTTGATGAAATACTAGTTGTTCTATTACAAATCCTTCTTAACTGAGGGCTCCCTTTTGGTTTCAGATTATAAAACTGTTGAACTTTGGTCTATCCACTTAACTAGATGGTGTATTGATTACATTTATCTTTTCACATTTATTTTATTTTTGGTTGAAAAAAGGTAAGGAGGGTAAGCAACAGATTGTCAAAAAGATGCAAAAAAATTTATGTGGAGTTGAGCTTTTGATGCATCTTTTAAAAAAGTTATTTATGTCATTATCTTTCCTTTTTTCCGTAGAAACGAAAGCATACTTTGGAACAAGCCTATAATGACGGGAGGGATTAGTAGTAATTGGCCAAATATTGATGTCAATGATGTTTGACAGATCTGCTATAGCTGTAAATCATCATAAAATCTCCGCAAAAGCAGCATCTGCATGTCTCCCAGCTCTCAATCCCAACTACAGTTCCCTTAACCAAAACACGTTGGATCTAATAGAACTCAACTTCAATACATACAATAGGATTTCTGGACTTCAGAAGAGCCTTCAAGTCTATGCATTTGTTTTTGCCCTGCTCTGTTTCTAGGCCCAAAAAGCCAACTCAGTATGGTTGTAAAATGGGTATATGTTACATAGACAACTGTTTATGCAGATTCAGCTGCTGGGAAATGGGAATTGGGATCAAATATTGAAATGGATAGATGGGTACGGGCATGTTATCTATGGACATCAATCCTTACCCGCTTGTATTGGTAATTTGGTATTCTCTGTAGTTATGAAAACTCACAAGGCCGGATTAAATGGTGTACCTATGGTCCAGTGGCTAAACAAACATCACACTAAATGAGTCCAGAAAAGACGGCTGCCAATAAGAGTTGTGGTCCAGTGGAGAGAGCCCATAAAACCTTATTGGGTTTAGTATGCGCAAATCCCAATTACAATATTTTTAAATACACACACGTTCATCTCTAGTGCACCCAAATTAAGCTGTCAATGTCATTATCATCAGTATCTTACACTTTATCGTTTCCCCTAAGCTATATAATCTATTATTGTATGAGAAAACCCCAACTTCCACAAGAAGTTTAGCAAAATTCCAAATTGATTCCATGGTTGTATTTATTCCATATTTTCATCCTTAAAGTAATGTTATTTTTTTTATTTTAACAAATTTTCAATATTCTACTGTAGCACGATGCACATTAACACACTAAAATACATTGGTGTTTTCTTTGGTAGAATATAGACTCATGTTAACAAAAGGCAGCTCATGTTAGTAGCATCCAAGCCAATGATTTTTAGCTTTTTTTGTTTGATTCTGAAGTCCAAAATCACTTTCGAAACCATTGTTGAATTCCCCACAACCTCTTCTACAAAATCCATATCTTCATTTGCCGACCTCACTCACCGTTTTCGATCACCTCTAATAGTCACTAACAGTATTAATTTAAGGATGAAAATCTATAATAAATATAATCAAGGGTATGAACTTGAAATTTTGTCAAACTCCGGTGGGAATTTGTCCTTACTCTTATTGAAATGATGGTTCTTAGTATACTCAAAATTAGGTCAAATTTTTAATGTGTGTATTTAAGAATAACTAACAATATTACACATAAATATCACCCATTTGATTGCTAATATACAATTAGGTTTTATCATATCATTCCTCAATTTCTGTTTAGTTTAGTTTCGCAATATGTATGATAATTTTTATTTTGTTAATTGGAAATTAGATAAAACTCAATTTACCCAAAAAAAAAAAAAAAAAAAAGAGACAATTTCGATGCATTAAAAACAGGTAATAATTGTTTGAATTAATAGATAAATATAATTAAATAAACCCACAAGGGCCACAACTAAAAAAATTAGTAGGATAAGCTTTGAGTCGTGTAGAATGTTTGGTAAGAACATCAAATAAAATAAAAAAAATTAAAGGACAAAATTAGATTTCCAATGAGTTAAAAATGAAATAATGACAACGAAGGAGGAGGAGGAGGAGGCAAACGTAAATTCAACTAAAAGAAGGCAAGGAGTCCCTAAAAAATAGGAAAATAAATTTAGTAATAAAGCAAAATAACACGCAACAAGTCTACGATCTGACAAAGCTTTTAACTAACCTCCCTTGAAGCAAAATCACACTGTTTCAAACAACAAAACATTAAAACACTACACATTTTTGTTTTGGTTCTTTATGGTGTTGCGTGTTGGTGACCATATGTATTTCAGTGTTTAAAGGGCTTTCAAAATCTGGCAAATTTAGGAGGATTGAGAGCTCGCTTGTCCTTGAAGCAAGCAACATCCGACCTTTGTAACGAAGACGAAGACTGCAGGCCTTGGCGTCGTAGATTGTTTATGGCTTTCACCTGGGGTTCTGCTCTTCGGATCACTCTTTTGATTCTTCTTGTTGCCGCTGTTGTTTTCGCTTTTTTTACTCTCCCTGTTGAAAAGGTTTCTTTTTCTTCCGTCTTTTTCGTCATTTTGTTTGTTTTTCTGAGATGGGGTTTTTGTCTTTCTATCTAATTTTTAGGATTTCCTTTCTGGGTTTTTGGTTTTTTTAATTTTAGGGCTGGTTTGTTTGGTTCTTGTTTTGATTTGATTGATGGGTTGTTATTTTTTGAGCGCGAGTCAGAGATCAATGCTGGAAAATTAGGATTTTGCTTCTAGTTTTTTGGGCTTGATTTGCAATCCAAGTTTTTGCTTTTTGTCACGAATTTGTTTATGCAGCAGAACTATATTATTCATATGATTAAGATTTTAGAAATTAGATTAGTAAGAAAAGGAATAGTTGCTCTAATTAAGCCATGGTCAGATTCTATTGCTGCAAATTTGTTGTATTTCCTTACGTCTTTGTTAACTCAAATGGATATTGCATACATATACTGCTATTGAATCTCCCTTACCATTAGTGTCTTGCCGTTTCACTGATTTCTCTTAGTTTATTATGCTACTTGTATGAGTTTGTTTGTTCCTTACCCAAAAAAAAAAAAAAAAAAAAAAAAAACAACTAGAGCTTTTATGAGTTTGTCGGTTTCAACAGGGGGTCTTCAAACTAGATTGCTTCCTAGACACATTTCGATATTTGAAGTATTATCTCTAAACTTGATGTGAATAGCCTGAGAACTTGTTTATTGATGGAGTTATTGCTTCCTGCAGATTTTGAAGGACTTTCTAATATGGGTTGAACAGGATCTTGGTCCTTGGGGTCCGCTTGTGTTGTAAGTTGATAGCAATTCTTTCAATGTTTTTCTTTTATGTACCTTTTTGCATTAATTCTTATACTTGTGCTTTTGATTCATGCTTCTGATGTGAATCAATTCATGTTCTGGTTTGCTTATCATTTCAGTGGAGAGTTTTAGTTGAATTGAGCACATGCTCAAACCTATCCAACACAACTAATCATGTTGAGAATGTGAAAATTTGCATTTAATTTATTTTATAATATATTTCAAAATTTTAATTTCTTTAATTTAGGTTGATTTATTTGCAGAGGTGCTATTTAGCTTTGCTTGAGTGGGACTTGTTTACCAGGTTGTCTAACTTTATTGATTGGTTAGAAAATCTAAGCTCAAGCCTGCCTGGGAGCTCTTTTTTTCCACTAGTTAAAGTCAAAGCACATTTTCCAAATCTGGTCCAATAAGTTTGAGAATATGGGATTTAATGGAGACTGTATGATTATGTGTTTTTTCATTATTATAAGCTTACGATATTGATCCCCTTTTTAGATCTTTTTGGATGATTGAAAGAGCTCCGAGCTTTGTTCTCCATGGTTAGGATATTATGAAGCTTAGCGATGGAGTTAGATGCCACACTTCATGGATATGTTTTATTACTTGGGCTTAAAAGGAAAAATCAGACACCTTGAATTGAAGAGGTGTTCTGTGTCCTAAGATTTGGAGAACAAGATCCACATTTGAATTTTCAGAACTTTTGGTTCATCACCTTCGTTCAATTAAACCCTGTTCTTATGCATGGTTACTAACAGTCTGTGCCATATTGTGTATGTGTAAATAGTCTTGCATAACCATATTTCATGTATGATTAGGGACATAACCTTGTTTGGAGAGAACCATACATAACCTTGTTTGGAGAGAACCATGAAAACAATTTCATTTGCTTTGTCCCATCAGCATGTGGCTTACAAGCTCATAAGTCCCACCTAACTAGTCTCCCACCCTCAAATGGTGGGGAACTTCCATGTCTAGAAAGCTTCTTTGGTTCTTGGCCCCTTAGATAAGTGCGCATTTTGGCATCTCAAGAGGTCGTATAGGTTCTGGATTTGTGAACTGCAAACGACAATGCTGGAAGTCTTACTTTATTTATTTATTTATTTTTTAAACTGTAAACTGATTTTCAGTGGTTGATATGTAGGGCTGTTGCATATATTCCTCTGACAGTTTTGGCGGTTCCAGCATCCGTGCTTACTGTAAGTATTGAACTCTAATCTGATGCTTTAGCTAGCCTTGCCACCTATTCTGACTTTACTTCTGTAGATTTGAGTATTAGTCCCTGGAAATTGTGATAGTTTTTGAATTTTGGTCTTCTTTCAGCTTGGTGGTGGTTATCTTTTTGGTCTGCCAGTGGGCTTTGTTGCTGATTCTATTGGTGCAACTGTTGGTGCTGGGGCTGCATTTCTTCTTGGCCGAACTGTAAGTTTACGAACTTTTATGATATATATGCATCTCGATGTTCCACTCTCCGATTGATAGGCAAGGTGCATGCTAGGATAGAGTGTTTGTTGAATATTATAAATATTAAGCAACTTTTAATATCACTTCTTTTCTCCACGTATCATTCATTGATGCTATTAGAGTAGTCCTAATTGCTATATACCACATTTCGTTTTCCTGGTGTTCATATTTTGGCATATTATTTTCTTCCTTTTCAAGTCAATTTGAGTTACATGTTTGGTATTATTATAATTTTCATTTAATTTATTTTATTCGGGTATTCTTTCACAGATAGGAAAATCATTTGTTGTTTCTAAGTTGAAAGATTATCCACAATTTCGGTCAGTTGCCATCGCCATTCAGAGATCTGGTTTTAAGGTAGATGTGCTTCATATTGGATCTTCGAGAACTGAGTTGGTGCTCTTTCTCTAGCTTGTTCCTGTGTGTTCTGTATCTTAAATATTATTTCAGTTATTTTTTCACAAATATTTCATTTTGAATGCTCACACTGATGCAAGTAGGCAGCAGAACTATATTTTGTAAGTGGACTATAATTGTAGTTACTAAGCTAGCCTTATAATGAAATTTGATACAGCTACATCTTAGAGGTAAGAGTTGAATAGTGAGTGCTTGTAGTTGAATAATCTCTCTTTTATTTTATAGCATATTTACTATAAACTCTCTTTTCCTGGACTTGAAACCTTCCTCAAGGAAAAATAAATTCTGTGAGATTGTGGTTTTCAATTGCCTGTATGCATTATACTTTTTTCTTGGAAGGTTCTTTATAAAACATTTCTGTTGGAATTTATTTTTGCACATGCTTGACGATTAATATTGTATTCATTTCTTATATATAGGATTATTATTGTTGTGAGAAAATGTCTTGTAATTGCTTGCTTTTAGGTTCTCTGTCCTTTGCATGATTCTTTTCTTTGAATTGCCTATGTCAGATCTCTGAACATCTTTATTTTGTTCAACAGATTGTTTTGCTGCTTCGGCTTGTTCCTTTGCTCCCATTTAATATGTTGAATTACCTCCTATCTGTGACTCCTGTTCCAGTAGGAGAATACATGCTAGCTTCCTGGCTAGGAATGATGGTATATTCTTCTTCTTCTTCCTCCTCCTCCTACATTTATTTAATGATTATATTCCATAATTTTGATATGTCACACCACTTTGGTTTGCCTCAATTAGGCTGTTAATTGGTTGTCATCTCTTCATAAGATGCAGTGTGCAAAACATTTATCCATTTTGAAACAATGTTGCTTTCCTTTTTGGGTTGTTCTTTATGCATTATTCAGCCTAAATGTGATTGTTGTGGGTATGCTTTAGGTGCACAATATTTTGTTATAGAACTATAGAAAGCCTTGACTACTTGCTGAGATTAGGGCATGTGATGCATGGTGAAATTGTTTGTCTTAGGGCAGATAAATGGAAGGTAGGGTTTCCTTGTTCCATATGCTACAGAGGAGCCTACCACATGTCATTTAGCCATTTAATACTGACAATATTCTCACAGTAGCATGCATGGATATGTTATGTTGGGAATTTCATGCGTATATAATGTTAGCTTCGGGATTCAAATTTATATTTTATTGGGGTGGATATATTGGTTCAGTCCTAACTTTTTCTATGCCTTCTAGTCTTAGCAGTAATGTCAAAGGCTTTTTGGAAGGAATAAGTCATCACCCGTTTGTTTCTGTCTTAATATGGTTTGAGCGATGGAGAGTTAAGAATTTGTTCTTATCAATTTGCCATGATAGTCAATTGAGCAATTTTTAATTATATTTATTTATTTCTTTTTGTGGTAATTTGTACAAATTAGGTCGTCGTGGATACTAACTAGTTTAATTGGTAAGACTTCTTGTAAAGTAGATGTTGGGATCTCATTCTACCCGCACCAGGGTTGGTGGGATTTGTTTGAATTTGGGATGGGGTCATAAGGGTTAAAAAATAAAAGGGCAATTACTGTTCGAATGGGGTGCTTGTCTAGAATGACCCTCCAGATCTGTCTACATGGATGTATGTGTGTGTCTGTTTGTTGGAGTTCTTTGTTTTCCTGTGTAATGATGTGTATGATCCAATTTCAGTGGTTTGAAAACATTTCTAATATGGTTTCCTTTGCAGCCGATAACTCTTGCATTAGTATATGTTGGAACGACTCTCAAGGATCTGTCTGATGTGACACATGGATGGAGCGAGTTCTCTAAAACTCGTTGGGTAAGAACTGTGTACTCTTATCTTTTGGGGCAGGCTTGCAATTTTTAATTTCTTTTTTCAGTTCTTTTTAAAATTTTAAATGGATTTGGTTCTAATCATGGTTTTCCGAGACTAAAACTGAGTTGTAGACTGGCCTATTTATCCTTCTGTTCAAAAGCTGTAATTCACATATGTACTTTTATGTTTTTCAGTCAGAAGGTTCTTGAAGGGTACATTTTATATTTCATGAGTCAGTTTAAGTGGATGTGGTACTTTCTCTTTATACTGTATTCTCATATATGTTTGCACCTTTGTTTTGGATGCAGGCATTTCTCGTTTCAGGTCTTCTGGTATCTGGTATGTTGTAATATATTGCACACATACTTATTGGGCTTGTTACACTTCCACTTGCCATATATCCGATAAACTAAATCAATTCTCTAATTTTGAGCTTTCAATAAATTCAATTGGAATTCTGATTGATAAAGTAAATATAAAACTAGAAACAAAGTGGAGAAGATGATTATAGAAATGGAAGGAAATAGTGTATGAAATAGTAATTTTCTTTCCCAAGTTGAAGTGAGCTCAAGTGACTTGTGGACAAAGTAGAAATCTTGTTCTTACTGATTTTCTTTTCCATATGGGAGATAAATAGTAGCCAGTTTTACCCATCTGAATTGCCTTATAATACTCATGCCATTGTATGTTAGTATGTCTGGAATTAAAAAAGAAGAAGATAAATGTAAATAACCCAATTTTTCTGTTGTGAGC